ACAGTTATTGAAGTCAAAAGGCACTGCCAATATAAACGGTACAAATAGGGAAAAACATTGTAATATAGAAACACTTAATAAATTTAATACTTTAATCGCTCTCCTCGTTTCTCACTGATCATTGCAACACGCTTGTTCATCGATATAATAATTAAATTAAATTCAGTTCATAAAACTTTTTGACAAATTCATCGTCGTGCTTTTAACTCATTCGGAAAATTGTTCAAACTTTTCTGACGTGACTGCTTGTCGATGGCATCTTTTCCTAACTGATTTGATACTCAAGCGGGACGCGTTCAATTTATGAACTATTTACTACGGTCATTTATGACGTCACGATGACGTCATTGTGACGTCACAATTTTACACACTGTAGGTAAAATCCTTAGGCACACATGAAACACATACTCACAGCAAGCAAAGGCTGTTATGCTTCCTATTTACGGCAAAGCGAAATAACCGTATTAAAATTATCATTACTCGAAACTACATAGACAATCGCGTGCAAAAATAATGAGACTCTTCACATTTTGGTGATCTTTTTGACGTGCGTGCCCCCTCCCCCCATTAACAATGTTGAAAACATATTATTTGATAAGCCCTGACCTCAAAATCGTTTTAACAATATTGCACAAGGCGGGGGAGGCAAGAAGGCGGGGGAGGCAAGAAGCCAATAAATTGCTTGTCTCAAGAATTTTTGCACGCGATTGTAGGTGTGACGTCACCGCTCAAGGTGTTTCAGAACGCCTAGTAGATTTCAGAACGCCTAGTAGATTTCAGAACGCCTAGTAGATTTCAGTATTTTTAATATGGCCGAAAATTTATATATACAAGTAACCTTTTAATCATAAATACGACAATGTTCGTTCGTCATGTACATGTTCGATGTCTACATAACCAAATCAAACTGTATTAAAAATGTGCTCAACCAAAAAAAATAATATATAAATTTACGATACCGAGTTTGAGCAATCGTTGATGTTATTTATGTACTCGCAAGTTGTAATCAACACTAGACCATACTGGTATACACAACTACGCTTTCTACTTGACAGGTTTAAATTGCTGATGAGATTGGAAATATTTGCCTGACATGACGGTGTTGTCAAAACATTCTTAGTCGGAGACTCGGCATAATTTTCAAGCATCTAGATAGCATTTAATATGGCTAGATATTTTAGTAAACACTATTGTTCCGACAGCATTAGAGCAAAACTGATGACTTAATTATAAATGCAAAGAAATTCCCATAACATTTCCCATTTACAAATGAGGTATGCTTGGTAACCAGGCCAGGGACCACTTATTTGAAATCAGGGACCATTTTACCGAAATTTGCTAGGCTCTCTCGCTGAAGCGTTCCGCACAGCCCACCCAGGCAAAAAACTTTTAAGACTTATTTAAATATATCAAAGCAGCGAGTAGAGAGAGAGCCTGGGACTAGGCTGGGCATTCTCCTTTTAGCGGACAATCGGGTTTCGATCTACAATTACACATTCTTTCGGATTGTTGTGGGTTTTCTCTGAGGATAGATTTGTTGTGGGTATTGATTTTTCTTTCTAAATTATGCATGCACGAGTAACTTATTTTCAATGTGTTTTTATTAAATATTTTTTGCAGTGGGTGCCCGCTCTTGAAGGATTCTTTCACAATATTTCTAAACTTGCGTCCTACATTTGTGGCGACATTTTTGCTAAATGGGGGATTATTCCATGTAATTTTCCTGCGTCTAGATCTTCTCCATGTAGCTTGGTTGTTGGTTGCTTCATATTTTAGGTCATAATTGTAGCCGCTTTTCTCTAATGCATGTTGGTATTCGGGTGATGCTTTGTCAAATGATTCCTTGTTTGAGGAAAGTTCGTTGAGCCTTTTGTTGATTGCTAGAGGGATGTTTCTTATAATGCTTGGTGGGTGATTGCTCTCATTGTGAACATAGAGTGGCTTATTGTTGGGTTTGAGATACGGTTTGTCGGTTCCTTTGTTAAGGTCTAAGGTTACGTCCAGGAAATTAACGATCTTTTTGTTGGCATCAATTGTTATTTTCAAACCATTGTCCTTGAACACTTTGCAAATCTGTTTCTTGATTCTTTCGAGGCATTGGGGTGAATTTTCAAATGCTCCCAGGCCATCATTTCTATACAGGCCAACTTGATTTCTAATGGTCTCGGGAAGCTGGTGTAGTAAGTACGATCCCACTAATTCGCACGTTTCTGCGCCATCAAGCGAGCCCATCGTAACATCGAATGAGTTTGAAGAATTCTTTTTGGTCCATGCGATGTTGCCGTTGTATAGGAGAGATTGCTTTGCATGCCATATTGTTTCTTTTTCTTGGGCTGGAATATCTGTGTGTGCTTCTGCGAATTTGAGAGCGTCCTCGAGTAGTTTGGATGAGATTGAGGGATAGAAATTTACAATATCGAATGTAAGAAACGAGTGCCGTACTTTTCCGTTGATGCTGTTAAACCAATTTAAAGTGTCTATAGTGCTCTTCCATTGTTTCACGCCTGTTTTGTTAATAATGTCTTTGTTTATTCTGTCGAGGATACATTTGCTCACTTTGCCTATTTCAGACTTCGTTGGATTTATTAGACGGCAAGTTGGGTTACTGGAGAAGTTGTCTTTATGATCTTTCAAGTTGTCTTTATGATCGATCGACACCCAAATGCAAATATAAACATGACTTTAAAATATATATATTCAATAATTGAAAAAATTCATAATGAGAATAAATATTGTATTATGATGGGTGATTTCAATATCAACCTCTAAAATTATAAGACACATCCCGATACTGATACTTTTATGAATACTTTGGGCTCTTATTATTTCCATCCACATATTCTGAAACCTACAAGAATTACAGATCATACTGCAACTCTTATTGATAATATATTTTTCAATTCTCTGGAGCATCTAACTCTTAGTGGTAATATATTAAGTGATATTAGTGACCACCTTCCAAATTTTCTCATTATTAACAAGATATCTGAACTACCAAATAATAATTTGAACTTGTTTAAGAGAAACTACTCCAATTTTAAAGATGAATGTTTCGATGTTTCTAATATTGATTGGTATAATGTACTGCCAAATGACAACAATGTTAACAATTTATTTCAATCATTTCATTCTGAGATTTTGAAGGTTGTTGACAGACATGCACCTGTAACTAGAATTTCTAGAAATGAGGTTAAAACTATGTCAAAACCGTGGATTACTTCTGGTATTAGAAAATCAATTAAGAGGAAAAATAAACTTTATAAGAAATATTTATCAACAAAAAATGAATATTATAAATCTAAATACAAGTGCTATCGAAATAAATTAAATCATTTGCAACGTATTAGTAAAAAAATCTACTATGTGAATTACTTTGCTGCTAATAATAAGAATATCAAGAATACTTGGAAGGGAATTAAGCAACTTATTACTTTGAAACCTAGGGGACATAGCTTACCTACAAAAATTATAAAGGATGGCCAGGAGATAAAAGATACTAAGAATATATCCTTGGCATTCAATGAATACTTTTCTAATATTGGAAAGAACATTGCAGATTCTGTTACATGCACTAATACAAGGACACAAGCTTTTATGCCAAACAGCTTCTTTATGACTCCTATTCTAAAAAGTGAAATTGAGTTTGAAATTGGAAAACTTAAATCTTCCAAAGCAACAGTCCTTTTAGTATTCCAATTAATTTACTAAAAACAGTTAAATCTAGCCTGTCTACTCCTCTTGAAATAATACTCATTCTTTCCTTCCTGACTGGTACGGTTCCAGACCAATTCAAAATAGCGAACGTGATTCCAATTCACAAAAAAGGCCCACTGACTATGTTAACAAATTATCGCCCAATCTCACTTCTCTCCATTTTTAGTAAAATTTTGGAAAAATTAATGTATACAAGATTAACTAGATTTATTGAAAAATATAAAATTTTATATAACAAACAGTTTGGTTTCCGTTCTAAGCATTCAACGTTACAAGCAGCTCTTTCAATAACTGATAACATTCAACAAGCAATTGAGAAGGGATGGTATTCTTGTGGAATATTTTTAGATTTTTCCAAAGCATTTGACACTGTAAACCATGACATCCTTCTCAACAAGCTTGATCATTATGGAATAAAAGGTTTGGCTTACGATTGGTTTTCCTCATATTTAAGTAACAGACGCCCAATCGGGCATATCAAATCCGATGAAACTCCAATTAAATATGGTGTTCCACAAGGTTCAGTATTGGGTCCCCTTTTATTCCTCTTATATATTAATGACTTCCATAACTGCAGTGACATTTTTGAATTTAACATATTTGCAGATGACACTAATCTTTTTCATGCTGATGCAAATCTTGTTAATCTAGAAATAACGTACTATTAATAGAAATTTGGAGAAAATTTTCGACTGGTTGGCAGCTAACAAACTGTCATTAAATATTGACAAAACAAACTTTGTTTTGTTTCATCCCCCTCAGCGAACTCCAAACCACGTGATTGCTTTATTTATCAACAATAGTCAAATTAAACAAGAAAAATATATCAAATACTTAGGAATTTTCCTTGACTCAAACTTACGTTGGAAAAGTCACATTACTCATATATCAAACAAAATTAAACGCTGCATTGGTGTAATCTCAAAAATTCGCAATTTCGTGGGTTTACATATACTTAAACAATTATACTATACCCTCATTTATCCATATTTGACGTACGCTTTACCAGTGTGGGGTAATACATATCAATCTAATCTTGATACTTTAATAAGGTTGCAGAAAAAGGCAGTCAGAATTATGACTTTCTCCAGTTTTAGGACACACTCAACCCCTCTTTTCAAACATTGTGACATACTTAAATTTGTCGATTTAATATACTATCAGAATGCTCTATTCATGTTTGACTTCCACGTGGGTAATTTACCCGCTGTCTTTGATAATTTCTTTCAAAATGTTTCCGAAGTACATAATTATAACACTAGATCTTCTACAAAAATTTTTTTATATATTCCAAAAATTCGGACAGATTATGGTCGGTTTAATCTGCGCTACTGTGGTAGTTTAATCTGGAATTCCATTGATAGTAAATTGAAATCTCTAAGCAAATATAACTTCAAAAAATTATTTAAAAACTCTCTACTTCAAGCTTATAATGACTAAATTCGGTTTCCATTTGTGATATTTTTGATGATATATTCTTTTGCGTCTATTGTACTTTGTCTTTGCCTTAATGCATGTGATTTGATTATATACAGTATATACATTTCGTCTTTCGCTTGTGTCTTTTGTCTAAATGTGCTACTTAGCTTGATTAGCCCTTATGGTTATTTCTTTGTAGCCTTTACTCTATTTGTGTAATGTATTTTGTTGTAAATTATTGTATCACCTCAGAGTATTAAATTATCCTTCATTTTGAGCCATGGCTAAAAATCTGCGACAGCCAGCGGTTTGTAATGCAGGGCACGCACCGTCATTACGTCATGTTAATGAACATATTGAAAAGCCGGAAAGTACGTAAAGAAACGCTCTTTAAATGTATATGCCCAATAAAGACATGCTTCCTTCTCGTCGCCAAACACTTCAAACTCCTTTGTATTATCCTGTGGAGTTCTCGCTTGTTTTACTAGACTAATGACTTTAAATGACTTTTTAAAACTGTTGGACAATGGACAATGGACAATAGCTAAATGATAAGTAAATCATGTCAGTGACATAATTATGTCCAACATTTAATATTTTATGTCACTAGCTGATATTATCTCACCTTTATAGAATATGAATCACGAACAAGAATATGAAAAAAAGCAAAATTTCGATGCGCTTGCATCGCGTTTTAGCGAAGTAACAAGGCGATTTTAAAATGCAAAATAGAGGCAAAATATACAATTCTTTCCTCAACTTGGGAACAGTATTGATATAATATCTTTAGATAAAATTGTGATAAAATTCATAGGGAGAACAAAGTGTATTGATTACGATTTATGGAAATCCAATGTTGATGTACGATCAACCTGAAAACTGAAGCGATTATGGGGTTCCGTCGTGAAAATAACCTGGATTACTAGTAAAGTGCGCGTGATTATATGTGCAAATTACTGCAAAATTGTTTTACTTCGGGAACAAAGCCTGCATCGAAACGTGAACAAGTACGTAGCTACGACGATTATCATTCAAGATCGATTTATGGAATCGTCATATTTGGTTTGTAGGACTAACAAAAGCCGAAAAGGCAAGTTAACGTAATGCTTTTCTGGTTATTAAACTTATTCACTTAATATTTACATTACAAAGGAGCTAAGCGTGCGTGTCGGCCATGTTGTCGCAGATTTCTAGCCATGCTAATGTTTCGATTCTGTCGCTTAGGCTTAAATTTCGAGCTATGTCTTTCGCTTGGTTGTTGATCTCGCTCACTGTGTCTACGGGTGCCTTCTTGTATTCTTTCTCTATGTTCTTTTTTAATAATGATTTGTAATTGTCGGTGGTCATTCTGTAGAAGTTTGTAGTCTTATCCGCTGGTATATATAAATTGGCGTCTTTATTGATTGCTTCCGTGTGTTAGGACAGTTTGCGTTGGAACTCCGAGGGCCTAGGTGTTCTGAATTCGATGTTATGGATCATATTGCATGGTCATCTTGGTTTCAAACTCGTTTAGCTCAGGTACTTGTGGTGGGGGTTTCTTCGATTTGAATCCGTAAGTTTGCTGTTCGTTGTTTATTGTAGATGGTTTTAGAAAGTGGTAGGCACGCAATCGCATTCTGCTGATCACGCCATCGCATTCTGCTTATATATATATATATATATATATATATATATATATATATATATATATATATATATATATATATATATATATATATATATATATATATATATATATATATATATATATATATGTACTATTTAAAGCACGCGTAGGAGTGTTTTATCACATATAAAACACGACGCGTAGCGGAGTGTTTTATATGTGATAAAACACGACTACAAGTGCTATCAGATTACGACACAATTTTTCTAATATAAATATCTCGGCGAGTATTTACCCCCCTTGTAAATAAAAGCCACCATTGAAATCCTAATAAAATAACCTTTCGAACGGGGGGTCAAGTGCCGTCAGAGCATTACACAAACCGAAACAATCATATATTTACTCACCGCTTGGCCAAAGATTCTAGATTTTATATCTACAAGATCTTGAATATCTCTTGAACTTTTCGTCATTTTCTGAACGGCTATATGTGTAAAATACTCTTTGTATCCAAGCGCTTTCGTGTAGAAAGTTTGATATGTATACGCCGACTAGAAATATTTATTTTGAATTTTTCAAGGTATCGGGTTTTAGTACGTTTTACTCGCACTTGCGAACATTGCGCAATAATTGGCCAATAAGAAGCTCCTGTTGGCCGGTATGACGTCAAACTCACGCGTGTAGGTGCAATTTGACCTTGCGAATCCATTTCTGGCCTTTCCAGGGTCATATGATACAAACGTCGCATTGTTTTGACGGTTTTCAGATGTATTTCCGGTTGGGATTAACTCACTTCGAGCTCACAGTCGGACAAGAAATGGAAATATATTGATAAAAGATACAGATTTGAAGATACAGGCTTGCAAATAACACTCTAAATAGTGTTTTTGATGGGGATTCGAACAAGACTATAACAAAGACGATATGTGCGAAGGGGCCGAAGTTATTTTCAGCGAAAGGTATGGCTAGTCTGTATTTTGTTCAGACAATTGCGTAATTTGATACAATATTATCGTGTTTGACTTTCAAAGGCCCATAAATCGTTACAATGTTAATAATGACTATAACTATCGTTTGGAACTAGTCTATCTTTTATTTCTGAATCGATTGGTGGTATTTCTGTCTTCATAGCATGCACTGAACCGAAGGTATGAAATTTATAGCCGTCGATCGCTCAGGATCGATACAACTGGGTTGTGATGCAAAAGAGTTAACCTGCCTCAAAATGGCCATAACATCGCCAATGGCAGTTATACCAATTTCTTTGAGCAATTCTTTATTTAAATCACCAATGTGATCTTTTTGTATTCTAGTTAAATGAATATTAAAATACATTAAGTACACCACTAAAATATGCTGACTTTCGACATTCTTTAGTGACAGAAAGTTCTACACACTTAAATTATTTAATATCATAAATGCATACATGACACTTTATAGTCTTCTTTTTATATATTTGTACCATAAAGTCATATTTGAAAAAAACACAGTTTGTGAATGCCAAAAATGTATACAAATAATGAATGTTTATGAGTGCAATGGTAAGGATATTTTCACTAGGTGAAAGATTGATTGTTCCATATTCCATAAAATATATACAGTGTATATATTAAAACAGTATATTTCAGAACTATCCTCAGAGATATGAAAATATGAAACTGATAAACAATATAAATACCGGTTTTCTTCAAAACACCTTGCATACCGCTCTGCATATTCTTCCGGTATGCCGCAGTCGTTAAAAAACAAAGATTTCCAGTCCATGATGTCTGAATATAGATGATCTGAAAATCGTATATGTGTATACATGTATACAAGACATTTCAAATATAAATTCATGCAAAATAATAACAAACAATGATTATAAACTGTTAATACATATTCCTTATCCTCATGGTTGATATTTTAAAGAACAGATGGTCAAAATCTGCATTACAAATTTGGGGATTTAAATAAAATCTACATACCTGTAAATGTTGAAAAGCACACGAACGAAGCAAAGATAATAAGCGCTAGATGATAAAACGCCACTTGAGATGAACAACCGCTGAAAAATCGGCAACTGGCCCATTACTAATCCATACCCAATCCCCCATACCCTGGGGATAAATAAATTCTAAAAGCTTCAAATCCCCCACCCTCTTGGGAGTGTTTCCTGATCTAAACCCCTACCAATCCCCTATTAACCCCCACTATGGCCCGGGGGGGGGGGGGGGGCGGGGTTTACATTGACTCATGCATAAAAGTAGGGCACATTGCTTCTAAATATGCCAACACAGCAGCTTTTGCATTTAATTATTAACCTTTCAATAACCAACACTCATCTTGATGAGTAAAATCATCTGATAATTAACTATCAAAGTACTGAAAGTGGGGAGTGTTAGGATGAATTGCATCTAAATGTGTTAACAACAAACAATGCAAAATAGCCTGGTGTTAGACAGGCCAAAACATTGAGCTTTGAAACAGAGCAGATTAGTGTGAATTGGGTCTTAATGAGTTTACACATAACACAGGGGGACAGCAAGATAATCTATCAAATTGTCCACTCTCTTTCACAAGTATTAAAATATTTGATCTGGTGTTAGACAAGGTAAAATAAAAAAGTACTGAAAGTTGAGCATATTCATCCTAACGAGTTAGTGTGAAATGTAAGTAGAGTCTTGTTAACTTGAATATACCATCACATAGTTAAATGTTAATTTCATAAAAAAATATGGAGATTGATTGGTGCAATTACACCTCTCCCAATGAAATATCAATTTTAATTTGAACAATAACATATGAATAAATATCAGAATCTTAGGAAGGTTGCTGCTGATTTGAACAAGTAGATAAATTTTCAAACTATATGTAATATGCTCATATTATAGTACTATATAGTCTATATGTATCGGCATGCTTAATGTCTGCAATTAATCTTGCATATACAGTTAGCATATAAGGCAGGTGTAAAAGTCGGATCGGATTGCCAGTCCGGGTAGGATTAGGTCGGATCGTGCAGGTATAAAAGTCGGACTGGATCGCCAGTCCGGGTTCGATTAGGTCGGATCGTGCAGGTATAAAAGTCGGACCGGATTGCCAGTCCGCGTCGGATTAGGTCGGATCGTGCAGGTATAAAAGTCGGACTGGATCACATTGATGACCGAATCGCTAGTCCGGCCGTGCCAAATTGCCAAAACGAAAATACATGCTTCACATGTGAAATTTGAAGATGCAGAACTCTGATCAGAAACATCTACACTATTGTTTTCATTAGACATTATACTTATATGCAGCTTTATTATCAC